TATTATTTTTATATTATATATATATATATTATAGACTGTGCATAAAGTTGACCCTGCCCCCTCCTTGTTTGCAGGTGGGACATTGACCAAACACAAAAAAACAAAGTGCACGCTAAACAAACTTTTATTAAAGATGTTTTTCAGTCATTTAAAGTAGTTCTTATCTTATGTGTGTTTAAGTGTTACATTTTCTGGTTTTAATCTGAAGCTATACAAACGAGGTGAAGCGTGATGATTGACAGCTGAATCTGACTCACAATTGGTCGGGTGCATGCATTAGCGGACCTTGATTATCCACTGCATAGGCACTGGCTCCAAATTACGTCAAAAGCACAAGATGATAGAACCCATATCTGAATATCAATATGATTGACCATGTTTACATACAAGTAACCATGTGATCAATTGTTAGTACAAAGATGTTGATTATATAATAATACAGTGCTATTTAGATATTTATCTTAATGAACTCCATCAGCTGATGAAGACTACATGATGAAGCACCAGAGTGGATTCATGGTGATGGTATTTACTCAACTGCCGTCTCCAAGGTCATGAATGAACGTTGAGCCTCAGTGTTCATGTAATGAGGCCATGTCCCTTTAATAAGATACCATGTGATGTCTAGTCACATGAGCACTTAAGCCACTTACATACCTGTCAAATTAATGGGAAAAAACTGTTCAAGTATGAATTAATCTGGTTGCTGATATTCGACTTTCATCATCATCAGAGATGAGATGAATCATTTGAACTTCCGCCGACCTGTACCCTGTATTCATTATTAATAGCAGCCATGCTCTGTGGGGACGGGCCCGACTTTATCATCACACCTCATGGCACTCTGAAAGTCTTCTTCCTAACGCTCAGGTTTTTCATTCATTCAGTCAAAGTGGTTTTTAGATTGAAATGTTTAAGACACTCACATCACAGTGCAATTAAAAACTATAAATAATGGTGCTGCCCTCGGAGAGCCGACACAAGCAGCAGACGTAAAGCACACAGTGAAACATCACAGAATAACTGCATGATTACATATTCATGACTACCCTCCCTCACCTCTTTTCATTTTATAAATCTTCTCTCCCTCTGTATAAATATATATATATATATATATATATATATATGGAGCATGTTTATTTCATTCAGTGTATGTTCTTGACGTATTGACTGAGTGTGAGTAAGATGCTGGAGACAGATTTAACTTGTCCACTCTCAGTTGATTCAGATCCGTGTTCCTCTTTTTAGACATTAGCCTGGGGTTTAGTCACCGGCCATTAGCTTTAAATTCAACTGCATTTTAAAAAACAGTTTAAAGAGGAAGAGGAGAAGTGATGCACGCACACACACACTGCAGACACACACTCACGTGCACGCTGAGAGAGACTCCGAGCTTCTCTGGAGTTAGCTGAGGAGCTCTTTGAAATATTTAAATGCTTGGAGCGTTTTTAATGTGGGATTGATGGAATAGGGTCAGTATCAGCGCTGCTGTTTCCACAGTCGTTTCAGGGAGAGCTTTGCACCAAGTAAATACTCTATGATGACACTCAACATTTCACCAGGATTCTGTTTACATCCCAGGTGACTGGCTTTTCAAGTCATGTGCCGCAACAATTGTTTTTCGTATTAAATCAACTGGATGTGTTCCATGAAAATGAAGGTGGTTGTAATTGGTTTTTAGTATTAAGGAGAATTCAGTTTTTAATCACCGATCTCTACAAATCTGTTTACATAAGACATCTCTCTTCATTTTCTTTTTCTCCATGCTGGTAAAAACATGATTAGAGTATTTTCCATGAAACATCTTTGACATTAATCTTATTGAGGTTGCGTCCACGCAGGTTTGTAGGATCACATTCATCAAAGTCAAATTCCCCTTGATATGTCAACACATAGAAATGCATTGTTTCTTACTGAATATTACTTATCATTATAAAAGCTGTTTGGCTTTATAGATTATTTGCACAAGTTAATTTTCTTTTTCTTCTTGAACAGACAGAGCATCATCTCTCTGCATGGTTCATATTACAAAGCTGTAGTCATCATGATTGAGAAACCTATGTCGACCATTGGTGGACAGTGGGTTTAGCATGTGTTGTTTTTTCTTACATGACAGGTGGAGGCCCCATGAAAACCACCAGATTTATGCTCATCTCTTCCTCCCACAGTTTTCAGTGTAGAGGGGAGATGATGCCAGAAAAAGAGTCATCAATAATGCAGCGGGAGGATGGAGCCTCACCACTTTAACATGATGAAAAACCCTACAGCTGTTAGACCAGCACAGTCCTCTCTTCAGCTGGAGTGTGCGATTTATCCGTTCAGTGGGCGCAGTCGATAAGTTGCTGCGTGTTTAGCTCATTGTACACGTAGCAGACACAATCATCTGCTGAGCGAAGAGAGATCAAAAGCTGTGAGAAAGTAACAAAGAGCTCATCACTGCAGCGTCACAGATTTTCTTCTTAATCAGCATGGCTGAGTACTGCCCTCTGTTGACTGAAGCATTTAAAATGCAGTGAAAGTAGGTTTATTCCTCGGACGGGTTAAAATAACCAGGGCAAAATAAATGGATGTTTTGATTCATCACAAACAAGATTAAAGTTTCAACTGGAGGCAGATCAAAAAACTACACAGCAAACACTTGTCTTTAAGAGTAAACACAACCATAATTATTATTCTATAAGAAAGAAAAGAATGCAAAATATAATCACACACTAAAAACTGTCATTTATTAACTTACAACACAGTACAATAATGAGCACAAACGCATCATAATGGGAACTGATGGCTAAACCCTACTGATCCTGGATCGACGCACTCCATACATGGATGTGTACATACATTTATCAGTATTGGTTGATGTAATGTGACAGGAAATTGGTATAAATCTTTTTAATCTTTATTTAAGTCCAGAGGAACCAGCTTCCTTCCTGGATTTTGATCGACGGCCTCTCTAAATCCAACCTTGCACTACTGTGGATGTGACTCACTCTTTCCTATGTAATAGTAACAATGTTTCTCACAAAACATGAGCAATAACATGAGATTCCAGACATTATCACTAATTTTCATATCTATGAAACTCAGCATGTTGCATTGTGTGATTGGAGAATTCATATAGGGCTGTGTTTAAAACTACTTCCCTATTTACTTCATGATATTGATTTTCCACCACTGTATATGTGTGTTTGCAGTGAGGAGCAGTCGTAGATAGTAACTATGGGTTCAAGTTTTGAGATTTGCATCTAGTCATATGTTTAAGTCGGCACATAGCAATTTTATACAAGTTTATATTCCTGCACCACAACAATAAATAGAGGAATACAACTACAGCTATGGTTCATATTCAAATTTCTTAAATATTTTTCATTTAAAACATTTGTGATTATCATTATGTGAGCATTGTTTTCATATTGGAACAAAACGAAAACCAACAAGTTGAATAAGCTCTGATACAACACTGAGGTAAATCAACAGAATATTCTCTGTAGCTCAGAGGAATCAGCTGTAGGGTAAAACCTTATTTCTCCACACTCTTGTTCACTCAGTGTAAACATAAAACCTCAGTTCACTGTTACACTGTGGGTATTCAGTTATACGCTTCTCAAAACTACAGTAGACAGAATATCAAATAGTTGTGAGACACACCAGAGACAGAGCTGGATGTTGAGAAGTGTTCTATTTAAATCAGTTGTTTTTCATTCCTCAGCCTCATTCAAAGACAGAAACTGGAGTAATATTTCACTTTAGGTTTTATTATTGGTACTGTGTGTTTTGTTCAGCTGGGAATAACAGTCTTCTTGTCTTTGACCAAACTGGAGAGGGAGGGTCACGTCCTCATCTCCTCTCTGCCACAACCACTGTTTTTACATCACTGTCACGTTCCTTTCAGTCTCTGGATTATTTGCTGTATTTTATAGCTAAAAATAAAAGTCAAGTTGAAGCGCACAAAATAATTTATTTTAATACGACCCTAAGTTCATCCATGTTTGAGGAAAAATCTGTAATACTGATTTGTTACCAAAAGAGGTCAGTAGAATACTTTTAACAGTTCAAATGGCCTAATCATGGATGGATGTTAGGAAATAAAATGTTTACGTATCTGTCAGTGATTAGATAGATAGATAGATAGATAGATAGATAGATAGATAGATAGATAGATAGATAGATAGATAGATAGAGAACTCATCTCATCTACAACATTGTAACGATAAGAACTCACGTGTATTAACTTAAAGGGACTCAGCAAGATTACTGTCCAAGAAAGACCTTTTTATACTGAAACATAAGAACATTTTGGAATACATTTTAATCACCATGGCAACACAGGTTTTGACGAGGACTCACATAGATGTATTATTAAATACGCTCTATTAATTACCTTGTTTTATTACACACCCACAAAACCATTATATATTCAGAAAGAGGGAGAGAGAAGGAGGCTCATTCATTTAAATTATTTATTTGGGCCAAATAACCACTGACTTTTCTGTATTTTAATCCCACTGCAAAACAAATCAAAGGTAAAAAAAACTACCATGATTAGTTTACTTTACTTCAATGACTGTGATAACAAGTACCTTTAAAAAACTGTATATAAATGCAAACAATCTAAATGCTAAAATAGTTAAATATGACACATGCAACTCAACTTCAACTCTCTGTGGTATTTGGGTCACTTCTGTGCATAATTTAGCCCAAAATAAAATGACTTGTTCGTCACGTAGCCGTTTTTAGAAAACTACTTTTAGCCTTCAGAGAAATGTTGTCTCGAATGAACAAAAAGTGTTTGGACACAGAGTAAAAGAATCATATATTCAGTGTTATACAAATACACTGTATATAGTGCTGAACATTTAACTTGAGTTAGATTTGAACAGTTTTTTTGTAATGTTAACAGATAATTGCAGAGCTAGAGAAGATCTCAGACTCCTCCTGTCATCCCACCCCTCCGTTCAAAGAGTCGCTCTCTTCTTTTTCCTGTCATCAGCGGCATCTCAGCCTGGTGACAAAAGCCTTCGACACAGTGGCGTTGGATTTGAGCTCTGCGCTTTTTAAATGTGTATGGTTATATTTGCTCCGGTAAGTTTGTTTTTTATAATTTATTTCATTATATTGTTGTTTTGGCTTTAATGGATCTTGTTTGATTCCCCTTGTAATGAATATTTCATTGCATGAATAATAATATCAAGTGTGATCTCAACGGTGTCTTTAATATATTTTTCATTTTGTTTTTATTTGCTAATTTGAAAAATACTTGAAATGTGTGATCTATCCTTCGGTTCAGTTTTTAAAATGCAACATGTGGCACATGTTTAAAAGTAAAGACAAACTATTCGCAGTGATCAACAGAGAGTAAATGTTCGTTAAGTATGTAAGACAAAAAGATTTGGTGACTTCCGAGTTGTGTATTGAACCTCGCTGGGCTGCTGTGGCCTCCCTCCAGTGCACAGTGAGCTGCTCTGTCAGTTGTCTTCCGACCTTTAAATTATTCAGTTTTTGTTTTCAAACCAATTATAAATTTTAATATAATGCCCTGTAATTTCCCAGTGTGTTTAAATTATGCATCAGGTCACTCACAAAACTGACATGGGGATTTAACAAAAATGAATAAATTAGCAGCTGTTGTTGATCTTTCTCCTGCTTATTTCTTTGTTTTCACAGATTTTTGCCATCTGTGCTTTTGCAACATGTGGAGGAAACCATGGTCATCTCCAGGTTAAAGTGGACTGTGCAGACAGGCGGCAGAGCAACCACAGCATCAACATTGATTTTGGTTATCCTTTCCGGTAAAGTAAACAAAGTGTTTATCTCTTGTTTCAAATGCTCAAAACTACAAAATGAATTTTGAGCTTTCATCCCATCAGGTGATTAATGAATCAAATAAATATAAATACTAGTGAGCAGCTTGTATACGTGTTTCGATGTTCCTGTTAGTTATGTGTACAAATTTCAGTAAAGTGAAGTGAAGCTGCACACTTCATCTCCATCCTGTTGTCAGGCTCAGAAAGCTGAGTAAATGAAACTGGCTCAATTTCAGTTTGAAACCTTTAAAACCAAATTTTTGAATTTTGGGTAGAAACACAGAATGCTGTCGTGTATGGATCAAATGATAATCAAGTTGGACTTTTCACGACAAACACACAAAGGAAGCTTGGGAAAAAGAAACATGTCCATGAGTTCTATCAGTAAAATACAGAAAAGCATGAAGAACAAAGTAATTTTACTGTTATTGTTCCAGAATCATTTAAAAATTCACATATTTGATTATAATGGCTTCAGTGGATTAAAGGACTGCACTAAAGCACACGGATGTTAACCAGCTGGTGTTGTGGGGAGATCAACCACCTCCTCATGCTCCCAACCTCAGAGTGATGGCCAAGTGTTTAATCAACCGTTCAACTGGTTTTACATGCTTCTTAGTTTGAAGGAAACCACTCTATACAGGTGCAAATGTCACTGACATTGTAAATTCACCATGTTATTAATTATACGTCGGCTTAGATCCACAGACAAATGACAAAATGAGGGAATGACTGTTATCTGGAACATTTTAACTGGATATCTGGTAGCTTTACTTTGTAGCATTTCCTGTGCTTTCCTTCATCTACTGCTGCTAAAATAATAAACTGGTCAATAAAGATATAATTTAACACCGGAACAAAACATTCAAATTCTAACAGCTCATAATAAAGCGTGATGAAAAATCTGAAATTCTTTATTTTGATAAATTCTCAATGTCTGTCCAAGAAAGGTCTGATGAAAAGGGCTAATGTTCACCATAGTAGATTTGACCTTGATCCTCTTGTCTTGTCGCAACGTCTCATGGGAAAGTTATATATTTACTCCAACTGAATCTTGTGTCATTTTCAATACAGTTTGTTGTTTTCTTCTGAGATTCACTGTAAATCTCATCCTTTCCGTCACGTAGATTACAACAAGTGCATTTCAAAGCTTCTCTGTGCGAGGCGAGAAGAAACGAGGTTGTGTTCCTGGATGGCGACTTTTCTTCAGCTGCTCAGTTTTTCGTGACGGTGGGCGTCTTTGCGTTCCTCTACTCACTGCTGGCGACCATCGTCTACGTGTTCTACCAGAACAAGTACCTGAGGAACAACAGAGGCCCACTTGTGGTCAGTGGTCCTCCTCCTCTGATATCCTAGTTTGAATTAGGTAGAATAAAGACTGACCTTGTGACTTTCTTCCTTTATCTCTAATACTTTAGGATTTTGTTGTCACAGTCATCTTCTCCCTCATGTGGCTGGTCAGCAGCTGTTGTTGGGCCAAAGCTCTGTCTGATATCAAAACGGCCACAAACCCAACGCAGGTGCTTCTGCTCATCTCAGCCTGCAGAGCTCAGGAAAACAAATGCACAGTTACCCAGGAGCCTCTTTGGTCACGTCTGAACACATCTGCGGTTGGTATCCATTCAACAAATGAAGCAATGAAACAGAAAACTGAATAAAAACAAGCCATTCACACCTCTGTCCTATTTCTGCCTCCAGGTATTTGGTTTCGTTAACGTGGTCCTCTGGGTGGGAAATATTTGGTTTGTCTTCAAAGAGACAGGCTGGTATAAGACCGGTCAGAGATACCCGACCAGGAGTGCTTCTGGGAAACGCTCCAGCGAAATGCGACAGCGACTTTACAGCGAGAGCAGCTTCGACCAACCGGAGGAGAGTTTTGGTCAGTCCCAGTTCTCCAGACAAGACAGTGTGAATCAGTCAAAGGGAGATTTCGGTCCGCAGGTCCAAAGACAAGTCAGCTTCAACCAGTCACAAGTTACACTCAGCTTACCACAGACGTATCTTGGTAAACCTGTGATTTATGACAGGGAGAATAAAGTGGCTTCTCAAGGGCCCATGATATATGTCAATGAGATATGATTCTACTCTGTTTGATAGTGCTGCATGCTGTAAAAAGTATTATTCTCAATCAGATGATCAACGGAATGAAGAATGAAACCACAGAGAGTCCTTCTTATGACATACATAGTGACTCCATCTGGATAAATGGATGGAGTTTAGCTCCAGTTGTGTGACAGTGTGAGATGATCATTACTTGAGGCTGTGAGACAATTTTATGGATTCAGAAAAACAGTAATAACTGTACAAGTCTGTCTGATAAGTTGATATTATATTAGTTAGTTAGCACCCTGCGTGCTCGGTGTTATTCCACCATGGGTTTGCAATCAGCAGGCAGGATGAGTCAGCCAATAAGGACATTGATTCCAAGGATGAAAATCATTACAGGTCAGTT